GTCAGGGTTATGTCATCTTGTGTATTAGTGGTTGGTTGTTGTTTGCTATTGTAGGTTCTCTGTCCAAAGGACTCCCTTTAGGATCTCTTGTAAGGTTGGTCTGGTTTTAACAAATTCTCTTAATTTTTAAATATTTGGAAATGTCTTTATTTCACCATCATATTTGAGGGACAGTTTTTCTGGGTATATAATTCTTAGTTTGAATTTTTTTTTTTTTTCCTTTCAGGGTTTTATATATACCATCCCATTGTCTTCTCTCCTGCAGGGTTTCTGCTGAGAAATCTGAGCTTAGTCTTATTAGTCTTATTGGTTACCACTTATAGGTAACTTTTCATTTTCCCCATGGCAAAGGCATTTGACTTCTAACCAGAAGGCTGGTGGTTCAAACCCACCAGATGCTCTTCGGAAGGAAGGTTGGGCAATCTACTTCCATAGTGATACCATCTCAGAAACCCAAACTCAAGGAGGAGGTCGCTGTGAGTCAAATCCTACTCAGTGACAATGAGTTTGATTTTCTGGGTATGCTACTTTAAGGATTCTTTCTTTGTCTCTGGTTTTGATGAGTTTGATGATGATATGTCTTGATGATTTTCCTTTAAGGTTTATCTGTAGGCACTGTGTCAATCCATCTCGTTGAGGGCCTTCCTCTCTTGCATTGACCCTCCACCTTACCAAGCATGACATCCTTCTCCAGGAAATGGTCCCTTGTGATAACATGACCAAAGTAGGTGAGATGAAGTCTGGCCATTCTCTCTTCCAAGGAGCATTCTGACTGCATTTCCTCCAGCACAGATTTGTTAGTTCTTTTAGCAGTCCATGGTACTTTCAGCATTCTTTGCCAGCACCATAACTCAAAAGCATCAATTCTTTAGTCTTCTTTATTCATTATACAACTCTCACATGCATATGTTGTTGTTGTTATGTACCATCGAGTCAGCCCCAACTCATAGAGACCCCTCCTTGGGTTTCTGAGGCAGTATCACTATGGACATAGATTGTCCCATCTTCCTTCCAAGGAGTGGCTGGTGGGTTTGAACTTCCACACTTCTGGTTAGCAGTCAAGTGCCTTAGGCACTATGCAAAGGTGATTGAAAGTATCATGGCTTGTGTCAGGAGCACCCTAGTCCTCAAGGTGACATCTTTGCTCTTCAGCCCTTGAAAAAGGTCCTTTGCAGCCAGTTTTCCAAGTGCTATATGCCATCTGATGTCTTGACTGCTGCTTCCATGTGCATCAGTTGTAGAACCAAGCAATGTGAAGTCTTTGGCAACGTCAATCTTTTCTCCATTTATTGTTATGCTGTTTATAGGCCCAGTTGTGAGGATATTTGTTTTCTTTACATTGAGATGCAATCCATACTGCAGACTGTATTCTTGACTCTTCATCTGCGAGTGCCTCAAGTCTTCTTCACTTTCAGCAAGCAAAGTTGTTTCATCAGCATATCACAAGTTGTTAATGATTCTTTCTCCAATCCTGATGCCATGTTTTTCTTCATATAATCCAGCTTCTTGGATTCTTTGCTCAGCATATAGGTTGAATAAGTATAGTGAAAGGATACAACCCTGCTGCACTCTCTTCTTGATTTTAAACCATGCAGTGTCCCCTTATTCTGTTCAAATGACAACTTCCTGGTCAATGTACAGATTCCTCAAGAGTACAAGTATGTATTCTGGGCCATCTAGTTCTTCTGGTCTTGAGGTCCATCATGTCCTAGGGTTGATTGCTTCCAAATGTCCTTGGCTTTTTGGACTCTTTTTAACTTCTGACAATAGGAGACCATTAGCTGCATCTTAGATGACCACTTGAAAGCTTTTAGACCCCAGTTTCTACTCAACAATGCAGGATGAAGAACAAAAATTTTATGTATTTTGTTGTGCCAATTGAGTCTGGTGTCCCTCAGTACTATGGTTCTGAGTCAGTAGATCCATTGGACCTCTCTCCCACAGTGTCTGGCTGTTTGTGAGGGATTACTCTATGTCTGTCATCTGTTGTTTATGTAAGGATTAAGAGTATTTTGTATCAGTGGTATCTGTGCAAGATTAGCCTCAGCTGAATCTATCCTTGGAAGTAATCTGACTTCTTAACTGCTATTTTCACTGTTGTTGATTGAGCAACCAAGTAATATGAAATCTTTGACAACTTCAATCTTCTCTCCATTTATCACAATGCTGCTTATTTGTCCAGTTCTGAGGATTTTCTTTTTCTTTATGTTGAGATATAATCCATACTGAAGGCTGTAATCCTTGATGTTCATGGGTAAGTACTTTAATTGCTCTTCCCTTTAATGAAGCAAGGTTGTGTTGTCTACATATGACAGGTTTTTAATGAGTCTTTCTCCAGTTATGGTGTCACATTCTCCTTTATAGAGACCATCTTCTCAGTGTGTTTGCTCGCCAAACAAACTGAGTAAGTTTGATGAAAGGATACAACCCTGACACACATACTTCCTGATTTTAAACCATGTAGTTTTCCCTTATTCTGTTTGAATGATAGCCTCCTGATCAATGTACATGTTCCTCATGGACACAGCTAAGTGCTTTGGAATAACCATTCTTCACAAGGTTATCAATATATTGTGATGATCCACAGAATCTAATGTTTTTGCATATTGTGGTAGTTCAGTTTGTGTGTCAACTTGGCTGGGCCTGGTTGAGTGGCTGGACAGCTAGATGTAGTATTCTCCATGAGGAGAGTGGTAATCAACTCCATGGTGGAATCTACTGTGAGCAGTTGAGTAGCTGCCTTAGGGAAGTTAGTCTGCTTCCTGTATATAAGCAGAAGCCTTGAGGAATGGTCTCTAGCTTATGGCATGTGTGGACACTGCATGTATCCGTGTCATTGTTCAGCAGACTCCCATGCTCTACTGACTTTGGGATTTACAATGGACTTGAATTAATGGCCTGCCATGTGGTTTGGTAACATCAGGACTGTGCCATTTTTCTTGCCAACCTTGGGTTTGTCATCTACAGCAGCCAGCAGCTGAGTGAAGAAAAGTTTCCAGCTTCAGTGGGCTGGGAGAAGGAGTCAGAGCTACAATCTAAGGTTGAGGGGATTTCACCCAGTCCCTAGAGCCTGACACTTTGAAGTTGAACTTTAAGCCTCTAAATTGTGAAAAAATGAACTCCTGTTTGTTAATGCCATCCCTTTTGTGGTATATTCCTGTCAGAGTGGCACTAGGTAACCAGAACACATAGTCAATGAAAAACAAGTAAACATCTTTCTGATATTCTTTGCTTTTAGTCAAGATCTATCTATGAGATCTGCTGGTGTTATGAATTTCAAACAAGCAAACAATCCTGTTTCTGTCAAATCAACTGTGACTCATGGTTACCCTATAGGACAAAGCAGAATGACCTGATAGGATTTTCAAGGCTGCAATCTTTGTAGCTTAGTGCCTAAGGCACTTGACTGCTAACCAGAAAAATGGTGGTTCAAACCCACCAGCCACTCCTCAGAAGGAAGGTTAGACAATCTACTTCCATAGTAATACTGCTTTGGAAACCCAAAGAGAGGTTGCTATGAGTTGGGTCTGACTCGACAGCACATAACAACAACAACAACCTGCAAAAGCAGACTCCTGTGGAGCAGCTGGAGGTT